GGGCATGGTGGTGTGCGCCTGTAATCCCAGCACATGGGAGGCTGTAAGCAGAAGAATCATTATGAGTCTGATCTAGTAGTGAGATCCTGAACACCCTGTATCCCTTCCCTAAAAATAAAAAAAAAAAGTTTGCAACCAATGTCTCAATAAATAACAGCAAAAATAACACAAATTGTACACACACACACATAAAACAATGAGTTGAAATTGCACACTATTCTTAATTGCTAAATAAACAGCAGATTAATGTTTTTCAGCCTGACTCAGTTTTTTCTGAATAAGTGGAGAAGGTGTAAATAAAATTTTAAAAAATAATTTCTTCCTGAATTTTGAAATGTAAAACTCCTGGTTCTGTGTATAGTAAGGAAGAAATAATAATGTTTTGAGTTACAGAAGTGTTAGTGAATGAAAAATAAATTGTTTTTGCTTTTCTCAGGTCTCTGTGGTCAATCAGCTGGATATGCAAGTCATTGTTTCCAATGTGCCACCAACTTTAGTGGAAAAGAAGATAGAAGACCTCACAGAGTAATCCATTTTGTTTACTAGTACATTTGTTTTCATATAAGTATAATTTTAATTATTATTTCATTCATTGTAATATTTAGACTAAGGATGTTTTTAAGAGTTTCTTCATGAAAATTTAGGTTATTCTCTTCCCAAACTTTGTCGAAAGTAGATAAAGTTTCCAAAAGTGCTTTCAAATAGAAATAAAACTTAAATTTGTTATAGTAATATTCACTATGTTTTGATTGATGCATTTTTGAAGTTTTAAAATGTTAAGAGATGATGATAGGATCTCTGATTTGACTGCATGCTTTGATGTTTTAATCCAACGTTATTCAGAAAATTTACTATGTCAATAATCTATATAGTCTAGAAAACAGGTTAGCTCTCAAAATGAGACACCCAGTTTGCTAGACTCATTCATGGAAAAAAATTAAGATGAATTCAAAGCAATATTTTAATATTTCTAAAAAATGCAGTACGTTCCTCTTTTTCCTGAATAGTATATATGTAACAGTGCTAAACATGTTATTTCTGACTCAAACAAACTGGACCTTATTTATAACACTATGCATACTGTCAGAGTTTATTTTTATTTATTTTTTATTTTTTATTTTTGGTATTTTAGGGAAGGGTCTACAGGGTGTTCAGGTGTCTGATCTCACTTCTAAATCAGACTCGTAGTGATCCACCTGTTTACGCCCTCACAAGAGCTGGGATTACAGGTGTGCACCACCATGCCCAGTCTCAATTGCCATGTCAGCAGGTGCTGAGGGTGGGGCCTTCACAGCAGGCCTGGGGATTGACACCCCCAACCCCAGTGCCTGTTTGTAGGTGCTTTAATCTACTGAGCTATTTGGCTGGCCCTCCTCAGAGATTATTAAATTAATAATATTTTAAGTATTAGTTTATTCTCTCGTACCCAAAGTCAGCCTGACATCATTTTGTGATTCATATTTGCAATTTATTTGTGTCTATTGGTTTTAGGCTGACATATAACAATTTCCACTATTAAACTGCTGCTCAGTAGGAAAATTTCTCTGCTAATTTCTAGAAGCTTAAAAATTCAGCATATCTTTTAATTATGGTATGCCAAATAAATCACAATAGTCAGAAAATAAAGCGTTATATATTTCTTTGTGTTTACTTTGTAATGATTATTTTGTATTTCACAAATTTAATCTATTAGTAGTAGATCAAATGTCTTACAAGGAAATGACTGTTAATATTTTAGGTGGAGTACAGGTATCTTTCTATATCTTCAGAAGTAGATTATTATATATGCTTAACCTTTTTGAAACTAGTAGCTAATAGCCTCTGAAAAATATGAAATTAAGCTTGTCTCTTGGCTCCTTTAATCTCACAATATGGACATATTTGTGCTATTTTTTTATAAAATGTTATCTTTTTCAACTTTATGCTAATCTATTTTTCTTCAAAACATGATCTAATTTTAATGTGTCACTTTTCTACTTTAATATAATGTCCATGAAAATAGGAAATTTTATTTTTTACTCTTGTAACTCCAATTATGTTTTAGGCACTGAGTGTAGTTAATTGAATGATTATTTTATACCCGTAAAATCATGATGCCCTTTTTATGTTGAAACATAATTCATGAAATAAAATAGGAAGTCATAAAACAAAGTATAATTCATAGGAACGTAGAAGCTTGGATGACATGGTGACAATATGATGAATGAGAAAAAATACTTTAGTTTGAGAAATATCATTATCAGAGGAACTTTGACAACACAAGACATTGAAGTTGAAACACAAACTCTGTCAAATGTGAGCCTTGACACCTTTTATTGTGAAGAACTAATAAAGATTGTAAATTTCCTGTAAGTATGTAGGGCAATGAAAATTATAAGCATCAAATGAATAGTAAATATTTTATGTAATTGGGATTGGCAGCTATATCAACTTTCCTATTGCTAAGACACAATAATCAACACTCACAATGTAAAGGAGAGCTTTAATTAAACTCACAGTTGTGATGAGTTTAGTACATGAATGAGAGGATCCAAGGCAGGAAAATCAGGGCACAAGTGTGTGATGAAAACTCGTTTCCTAGTTTGTGGCACCCAGGAAACAGAGAAGAGAAACAGTACCAGAGAGGAATGAAAGAAGGACCAGAAATAATCCCAAGAAACCATGTCTCCATGACCATGGAGACTCAGCCAGGCTCTTGCTCCACCAGCCTGCTAAGGGTTTCCAAATCCAATGTAGTTGACCTACCAGGATTATTGGTCACAGCATACCCAAAGTCAGAAGTTTCTGACATAGATACCAGGTTCTTCATATTCTTTTTAAAGAATGTAGGTTTGTAAATTGGTACAATGTATGAAAGCAGATGTATAAGTGGGAATCCTGTACTATATGTAT